ATTATCAAGTGGGTGTGTTTTATTTATTTTTGAGGGAGGGAGAGAGAGAGAGCGCGCAAGCGGGGCAGGGGTAAGGGGGGGGGCGGGAACAGAGGATCCGAAGCGGGCTCTGCACGGACAGCAGCCAGCCCCATGCGGGGCTCGAACTCACAAACCGTGAGATCACGACCTGCGCCGAGGGGGAGGCTCACCCGACCGAGCCACCCACGTGGCCCGCTGCTGTCGTTGTTGTTGGTCGTATTCCCATATGAAGAGGAGGGACAGACCCGGGCGTGAGTGGCCCGGCGTCGGAGGCCGAACGGATTTTGAGCCCAGGGTCAGAAGTCCCGCTCTGACACCCGAGAAGCCGCCCGGCCATTCCCCCACCAGGGGGCGCCAGAGGCCGGGCTCCCGGTTTGGGGAGGGGGGGGGCCCGGGGCCCCCCCCCCCCCCTCCCCCGCCCCTCCCTTCTCTCCTCCCCGCTCCGGGCCCCACCCGGCTCAGACGGCTCCGGACGGGACCTCGAGCACAGGCCGCTCCCCGGGCGCCTCGGATCCCCGCGGGACCCCCCCCCCCCGCCCCGTCCAGCCCGGTGCCGCCGCCTGCGCGCCCCATCGGTGAGTGGCCCCCGACCGCAGCTGTCGCTTCCCAGCTCCCGCCCACGGAGCCTAGGAGCCTGACCTGGCCGCGGATGATTCCCCCTGCTGCCCTAAGACCCTCCGCGCTCCCCGGTGTGTTTAACGGTGGCCTCGATGTCCCCAGTGCCACCCCTCCGAGAAACCTCCTGGTCTCCCCGGCTCCTTCCTTCCAGCCTGGACCAGTGCCCCCTGCCCTCCTGACCCTTCCCCGTCGTGCTCAGTGTCCCCCACTCCCAACTCGCCTCCCCACCCTCTCAGCCAGAAGAGATCCCCTCCTTAGGATCTCCCTCTAGTGCCCTCACCCACTCCTCCCACTCGAGGGCTCCTCTCCTGCTTCTCCAACCCATGGCCCGTCCCGCCACCCCCAAATTGTCCCTCAGACCCCTCCCTGCCTGGGACGCCGCCCAGGGCCCCCTCCCTCTGCCAACATCCCAGTTCCTGCCTCTCCTTTACCTCTCTGGCACTCTTTCCCTTCCTGTTTTCCTGTTTATTTATTCATCTCTTCTCCTTTGCGTACCATTGTGATTTTATGGATTTTAACATTTTTGATGGACAGTCACTTTTGATGCTCAAATCGTCCCATCTTTGGCCAGCGGGGGCTCCTTCAGGCTGGCCCCTGTGTCCCCGTGCCACACCTTTGACACCCTGGGCCCCATCTTTGAGCACCTTCCCAGTACCCGACGCAGCTTCACTGATCCTTCCCTTGCCCCAGCCCTGGAAACAGCCGTTTCTCCAAGGAGCCCCGTTTTTCGCGGTTTGGTTTTGTCTGCTTTTGCTTCGTTTTGCTTTTTAATGGCAAATGGTATCTGGAGACTCCAATCTGACCCAAAGCTGGTCCTGTGAAAAGGTCAGTAAAATTATAAGCATCTACTGAGACTGATCAAGGAAAAAAAAAAGAAAAAAGAAAAAAGACGCAAATGACTGATATCCGGCACGAGAGAGGGGGCAGCACTACAGATCCTACAGAGAATGAAAAGACAGTAAGGGAATATAGAGAACACAGTCTGGGTGCTGGGGGTGCTTGTTGCTGCTGGGTCGGTGATTCTGTCCTCCTGAGTTCTTAGACTTAGGAGCGCAGGCTCTGAGGTCAGGTTGCCTGGAGTCCCAGACCGCGCACTTTCTAAGCAAGTGATTTGGGGCAAGTTATTGCTGTCTTCGCGAGCGAGCCCGCTTTGTGAGTCAGAAATGTGAGGATAGCAACAGCCCTATCTCACAATGTTGTTATGAAGATGAAACGAGTTAGAGCAGTGTCTGGAACGCAGTGATCGTAAATGTTATTATTCTTGTGATCCCCTGAGGTCTCTTGTACCCGAGTCCACCCTGGCAACTCCTCAGCCTTAGTTGCCACCCCTCCTGTGTCCAGCAACCTCCTCCATGTGTCTCACAGCTCCCAGCCTTGGCACACACCGTCCTCTCCGCCTGTTTTGCACCGTATCCTTGTTTTGCATGGAAGCGAGCAGCTCAACAGTCAGCTCAGCCAGAGTTTGCCGCTCCTGTGGTCAGTTCACTGTGTCCCCCCCCCGCCTCTGCTGCCACTGCCCGGCATTTCCCAGGCATCACTGACTGCTTGGTGCCACGTCCTCCCCTCAATGGGGACTCTGAGTGGGTACGGGCCAGTCTCAGTCCCGTTTCTGGATCCATAGCTCCTGACCCATGGTTTCAGTGAAAATGTGTGAATTGATGGAAGGGAGGGAAGGGAGGAAGGAAAGAATGAACAGCGGATGAAGGAATACATTTCTTCCAGGCAGCTTCCACAGCCTTCCCTCTGCCCATCCCTCGGTCCCCATCCAATCCTGCTTCCACTGGTAACCTCTTTCTCTTCCTCCTGCCTCCTCCATGAACCATCACGTCCTGCCCTCCACCATCAGTGCTCTCTGCTGCTCCCCCTCTCCCCATTTCCCACCCTCCTCCACCCACTCCACCTTCCGGCCCCCTTCCCCCTCCTCCCCCTCCAACACCCTCTCCTCTTCCCGCAGGCCACTCCCCCCGGCCCTGCACGTCTGTCTCCCTCGGCAAGCCCAGTGGGCAGTGCTCGGCCACCATGTTCAGCTGGCTGACGCGGAGCGGGGCGCGGGGCCAGCAGCCCGAGGCCATCCGCACGGTGACCTCATCGCTCAAGGAGCTGTACCGCACCAAACTGCTGCCCCTTGAGGAACACTATCGATTCGGGGCCTTCCACTCGCCGGCCCTGGAGGACGCCGATTTCGACGGCAAGCCCATGGTGCTGGTGGCCGGCCAGTACAGCACGGGCAAGACCAGCTTCATCCAGTACCTGCTGGAGCAGGAGGTGCCGGGCTCCCGCGTGGGGCCCGAGCCGACCACCGACTGCTTCGTGGCCGTCATGCACGGGGACACGGAGGGCACCGTGCCGGGCAACGCCCTCGTGGTTGACCCGGACAAGCCATTCCGCAAGCTCAACCCTTTTGGGAACACCTTCCTCAATAGGTAGGCACTTTGAGACGCAGGGGGGCAACTTCCTGTCCCTGGCGCCTCCGTCCCTGCCCTGCATGCGTGGCTTTCTTTTCAGCCCCAGGTCCCTTCTCTCTTCCAGATCCTCCCCCCTTCCTGCCTCTGCTCTTCCGCCCCCTCTAGGGCCCATGGAGCCAGCTTGCCTGGGTCCGACTCCTTTCTAGCTGGGCGGCTCTGGGCAAATGACTTAACCTCTCTGTACCTCTCTTAGCCTCATCTGGGACATGGGGATAACCACGGGTCCCCGCTCACACACGAGGTGCTTAGAACAGTACCTGGCACAAAGTAAGTGCTCAGTGAACGTCAGCTCTGATTTTTTTTTGTTTTTTTTTAATTTTTTACTGTTTGTTCTCGAGAGGGAGGGAGAGAGTGGGCGGGTGAACAGGGGAGGGTCAGAGAGAGGGGGAGACACAGAATCCGGAGCGGGCTCCAGGCTCTGAGCCGGCAGCACAGAGCCCGACGCGGGGCTCGAACCCACAGACCGTGAGCTCACGACCTGAGCCGAAGTCGGACGCTCAACCGACTGAGCCACCCAGGCGCCCCTGATTTTTCTTTTTTTTTTTTTTTTCTTAAGTAAGTGTTATTTATTCTCTGTCCTGATCTTCCTTTTCGCTTTCGAGATTCTTCCTGCTTTCTGCCTGATTCACCCTCTGTGGAGCCCTCGTCTGCCTTCTTCCGTGGCCTCTCCTCCTGCCTCTCCCCGCGTTGACCCCTGCCTCTCCCTCTGCCTCAGGTTCATGTGTGCCCAGCTGCCCAATCAGGTCCTGGAGAGCATTAGTATCATCGACACCCCGGGCATCCTGTCAGGCACCAAACAGAGAGTGAGCCGTGGTGAGTGTGGGGCCGGACGGCTGAGCCTGAGGGAGGAGGCGGCCCGGCCTCTGCTGGGACATGGGCCCGTGTCAGCTGGCCCCAGCCGCCGGGCAGCAGAAGGGAGCCCATGGGAGGCTGTGATTCCTCCGTGTCTCCGCACGTTGAGGGCACCGGGGAGGCGTGTGCGTGAACAGGGGGGGGCGGGGGGGGGTGAGCAGGGTGCAGCCCGTGTCTGGGCTGGCCGGGAGGATGGACAGGGAGAGATCGAGAGAGACAGAGGGAGATATGCCAAGTCAGAGACAAAGATCTGAGCGCCCGGCAGCCTTACCGAGAGACAGGAGGCCCAGAGAGGAGGCAGAGGCCGGGCAGGGAGGCCCTGGGCGTGCCCCCCACCCCTGCCCCCCCCCCCCGCCCCCAGGCACGCTCCTGGCTTCTACGTCTGGGCCGCAGATGGGGCTGAGCAGGGGTTGGGAGGGGGAATCTGGGCGCCGGCCAAGGCCCGGCCTGGAATTTATAAACAGCTGTGCAGGGGGAGCAGCGGGGGGTGAATTCCAGCGGGGGCCCTGGGGGAGCCGGCCCCCCACCCCAGCCAGCTCAGCCTCTGCGCCCCCTCTCCAGCCCCCCCCCCCCAGTTTCTGTCCCGCGCCCGCCTGGCCTCAGGGGCCCGGGACTGGGGCAAAGGAGGCCGCCTTGTGGGGCAGAGGGGACTGGGAGGCTGGGCTGCGGGGCAGGGCGAGGGCGAGGAGGGTTACGGCGTCCCTGGCCGCTGCCCAGCGGGCGCGCGTCTCCTTGGGAAAGAGGCAGGGGGCAGCTGCAGAACCGATCAGAGGGCGGGCTGGCAGCCAGCCTGAGGGGGGAGGCAAGAGGCTGGGCTGAGGGTTCCTGGGGTGCTGCCTCCTGGGGCTGGGCCTGGGAGAGAGGGAGGGGTGCCGGGTGGGGGCTGAAGGCTGTGGGGAGGAGAGAGTAGGGGTCTCCTTCCCTGGCAGGGTGGGTAGAGGAAGAGGAGGTCTGTCTGTATGGGTGTGTGTGTGGCGGGGGGGGGGGGGGGTGTCTGGGAGTCTGTGCCTCTGATTGTAGCTGGATGTGACTTCGTGGGGCGCATTGGCGGGAAGCGTGTATATAATATCCGGGGACACACATATGTGTGACCGCAGCATCGTGGAGACTCTGGTGGGGGGTTTGAATCCGGGCTCTGATATTTGTAATTGTTTTTAAGTTTATTTACTTATTTTGGAGAGAGAGAGAGAGAGAGAGAGAGAGAGAGAACGAGTGGGGGAGGGGCAGAGAGAGCGGGAGAGAGACAGAATACAGAATCCCAAGCGGCCTGGGTACCTGTGAGCGCGGAGCCTGATGGCGGGGCTCGAACCCCCCGAACCTTGAGATCATGACCCGAGCCGAAACCAAGAGTCTGCCCGTTCCATCGACTGAGCCACCCGGGTGCCCCGGGGCTTTGCTGGTTTTAGCCCGTGCCCTCGGGGCAAGCCACTTAACCGCTCCCTGCCTCAGTCTCCCCATCTGTAAAATGGGAATGATAATAGTATCGGCCTCCCTAGGCTGCACAGGGGGTTAAAATTAAGGGTCAGAGCCTGCCAGGAACTTCGGTGTGTGCACACAGTAGGCGCCGTGGGCGTGCTGAGCACGGTGTACCTGCGTTGAGGGCCATAGCCGGCCGGACACCCCCGGGGTGCTCTCTGCCACGTCTCTTGTTCCCACGCTGACTCAGTCTCCCTCCCTCCCTCCCGCCCCGCATGAGACACACTTTCCAAATCCTAGCCTGTGTGTGTGTGTGTGTGTGTGTGTGTGTGTGTGTGTAGCCACTGGGGACGGAGGGAGCCCCAGACGCCGTCCCTCTGGTTACCCGGCCCTTCCTCCCCCCCAAACAGTGTCGCCACCCCCCCACCCGGTCCAGTCCCCAGGGGCCACAGGGGACCTGCTTCCTCCTTGGAGCCCCCAACACCAGCCCCTCGGGGGAGCATAGGGACCCGTGCGGGCTCCTGCTCTGTGCCCCCTCCCTGCATGTCCTGAGGAAATCCCGTCACCTCTCCGTGCCTCAGTTTCCTCCTCTGGAACATGGGGATCATAGGAGTGCCTGTCTCCTGCGGTTGTTTTGAAGACTCAAGGAGTCGAATCAGGGGGAGGATGAACTGACATCAGGGGAGTCAGCGGCGGCTCCCTACTCCTCAGTTAGCTCCTTCCTCGTCCCCCAGGTCGCCGTTGGGTCCCCTCCTCTGAGAAGCCCTCTCTGACCACCCCCCCCCCCAGGCTGGGTCAGGTGCTGGCCGCTGGGCTCCCCCAGCCCATCCTGACCACTCTGGGCCTGTCCTCGGTGGACCATGAACCCGATGAGAACAGGACTGGCACTGCCCTGGGGTGGTTCCTAAATGACACACCCACGGCGTCCTGTGTGCGTCGCAACTAAGACTCGTCGGGCACTTGCCATGTTCCCAGGCTGTTGGGGTTTTGGTTTTTTTTTTTTACCCGTTTAATCGAGGTGTAGTTTACATGCCTGAAGCTACTTCTTTGAAACAGGCACTGTTTTAGGCTCTTATTTTTAATTAAAAAAAAATTATAACGTTTATTTATTTTTGGGAGAGAGAGAGAGAGAGAGAGACAGAGCACAAGCAGGGGAGAGGTAGAAAAAGAGGGAGACACTGAAGGAGGCTCCAGGCTCTGAACTGTCAGCACGGGGCCCGATGCGGGGCTCGAACCCACAGATCACGACCTGAGCTGAAGTTGGACGCTTAACCGACTGAACCACCCAGGTGCCCCCCTTTTTTTTAAGAGAGAGAGAGAGACAGTGAGGGAGGGGCAGAGGGAGAGAGAGAGAGAAAGAGAGAGAGAGATCAGCACAGGAGCCCAAACTGGAGCTTGATCCCATGACCCTGGGCTCATGACCTGAGCCCAGATCAAGAATCAGATGCTGGGGGCGCCTGGGTGGCTCAGTCGGTTGAGTGGCCAACTGATCAGGTCATGATCTCTCGGTCCGTGAGTTCGAGCCCCGCGTCGGGCTCTGTGCTGACAGCTCAGAGCCTGGAGCCTGCTTCAGATTCTGTGTCTCCCTCTCTCTCCCCTCCCCTGTTCATGCTCTGTCTCTCCCTGTCTCAAAAACAAATAAACGTTAAAAAAAAAAAAAAAAAAAAGAATCAGATGCTCAACGGACCGAGCCACCCAGGCGCCCCTTCGGCTCTTTGTGTATATTGGCTCGTTTCTATTCCCTTGTCCTCACCACAGTCCGACAGGTTATGTTCCGTCACGGCTTCCATTTTACAGAAGAGGACACGCAAGGTCAGAGAGGTTTCCTACTCGCTTAAGGTCACACAGCTGGGGGCGGGGTGGGGGGCAGAGTCGGGATTCAAACCCAGGTCTTCCTGGCTGCCACGTCAGGGGGTTGCCAACACTCCTCTCTGCTCTCCTGAGCATCGCTGTTTGAGTGAACAAGCAAGCAGCAGAAAAGTGAACAGTGTGAACGAACGAGTGAATGAGGAAGGAAGGAAGGAAGGAAGGAAGGAAGGAAGGAAGGAAGGGGGAAGGAATACAGGAGCCAGTTGTCGAACCAGATACTCCACGAAAGGCAAGGACTTGTCTGTGTTCTCTGTGGCATCCCTGGTGCCCAGGATAGAGCCTGGCACACAGAAGAGATGTAAATAACTGTTTACATTACAGAGATGTAAATACTGTTAAATAAACTCAAAATATTTACCATCTGTTCTGGCAAAAGCATAGCCAGAGCCAACGTGAACTCTTTGGTGGCTGGATTGTGGGGAGATCCAGAAGTCCGAGGACGGGGCTGGGGTGATGGTGGCACTTGGGAGACTGGCGGGGGGGTGGTCATAGAAGCACAGAGAGTCTGTTAAGAAACACTTCAGTATTTTGACAACCTATACGTCTGGATCGGCCTAAGGAATGAATGAAAAGGGGGTCGGTGATCAGTCCTCTGTAGCCAGACGGCCCGAGGGGCTGGGGGCTGGGGTCAGAGTGATGGAGAAATTC